ATATAACAAGGAGGACCCTATTAGGGAAGAGGAAATATATAAGATGTCCTGGGTAAACTGGGGAAGGGAGGGCAAGAAAGGATGGGGTATGGACATATGGGATCAGGATGGTCTAGTTGGAGGTGAGATGAAGAGGGAAAGTAATGAAAGAGATATCTTGATAGCAGGAGTCATTATATAGTTAGGGAGAATCCTGCTGTCAAGGAAACTCCAAAGAAGCCACAAAGATTACCCCAGATAAGACTTGTAACAATAGAAGAGAGGGTGCCTGTACTGGCATTCTCCTCTAATCAGACTTCTGACTGCCCTAATTTTCATCATAGAGACTCCATCCATGCAGAGATCCATAGCCAAGCACTGGGCTGATCTCTGAGATTCCATCTGAAGAGAGGGAGGAACAGTTATATGAGAAATGGAAGTTAAGATTATGATGGGGAAACCCAGAGAGATAGGTAACCTGTGATTGTGGGAGTTCATGGACTTTGAATTGACAGCTATGGAGCCAGCATGAGACTGACCTAGGCCCTCTATCTCTGGGTGGAAGTTGTGTAGCATGATCTTTTGTGGGGCCCCTAGCAGTGGGACCAGGAGTTCTTTGGTGCATGAGCTGGCCCAATTCTGTATGGTGAGATGCCTTTTCCAGCTTTAATGCAAGGGAGAAAAGCTTGGTCCTGCCTTCATTTGATATTGCAATGCTTTGCTGACTCTCATAGTGTCAGAGGAGCACTGAATGGCAGTGTGGAAGGGATATGGAAAAGAGATAGGAAGAGAGAAAGGAGGAGAAACTGTGGCTGGAATGTAAAATAAATAAATAAACATCATGCACTTCATATGCATGTACATGATAGTTAAGGAATATTGTGTACATGGGACTGATCAAGACCCCCTGAATGTGGGTGTCAGTGAGGAGGCCTAGGTAATCTATTGAGCCTTGGGCAGTAGATCAGTACTCATCCCGAGTATACACACGGACTTTGGACTCCCATCCAACAATGTGAGATGAACTCTCACCCTGAACTCTTGGGGGAGGGTCTAGGCCCTGCCCTGGATGAAATGACAGACTATGGACACCCTCCCTGGGGAAATGAGGGGATAATGGGGGGTTGGGAGAGGGCACGGGGGAGGGGAGGGAAAGGGAGAGGGACCTGGAACTGACTTGTTTCTAATCTAAATGTAAACTGAAAAATAAATAAATTAAAATTAAAAAAGGAATATTGTGTAGTGTTATGCTTTAAATGCATGCCTTTGAGCATCAAGTTGCTAGGAGATAGTGTTGAGGTGGCTAATATTTACTGTCCGTTTGATGGGATTTAGAATTTAGATTTAGAGTCCCAGTGTCTCTAAGAGCAAAGAGTTCAGGAAAGGCTTAAGCTTGGGGAAAGGATTTACTCTCTAGGTGTAAGTGGCTCTATTTTCTATTTTCAAGACTTGGGCAGAAAAGAGGCTGGGCAGAGTTGTAGTGATGTATTGTTTATGATTTATTAAAGCTTGAGATTCATAAAGCAAAGTCAGTCTCAAGTCATAGAAGCCAGACACAGTTTGAGACTGTGTGGTAAGCTCATGAGTGGATTGCCCTTTTGCCTGAGTTAGTACTAAGGACTAGTGGCTAGCTGCTTTGCTTTTCTGATATTCAGCTTGAAATTTGATCCAGTATCAGCCTCTGGATCATCTATATTTTCTTATAACTCAGAGTATAATTGGAGTGTTATACTTCGTCTCTTTTTTTTTTCTTTTAGGTCCACTGTGACCAGCTCTTTTATGATCCCACAACTATGCTTTCTCTTCCATGATGAAAAACTGAACTAAAGTCAGCCATTCCTTTATCACGTTGTCTTCTGTCCTCACGTATTTTGTCAAAAGCATTGAGAAAATTAATTCATAATGTAGTATGCAGCAGTTTTCCATCATAATTTATAATTTTTGTATTTTGTAACACTTGTTTAAAACTACAATGTTGTCTCCAACTCCGTGCTTTGAGTAATTAAAGAGATACATAATTAGTTCTCTAGAAAACATGAGCATGTTCTTTATCATCTAACCCACTGCATATTCTGGGGACTAGGCAATATGTTCTGTGTGAAGCACCAATTATTACAACACTAATTGTATTAAGACATGCTTTCCTAATAAGGCTATCCAGAACGATTTGCCTTTGGGGCCTCCTTGGGAGTAGCCAAGTGACTTTAAAAGGCCTATTAGAAATATTTTGATTACATAAGGTCTCAAATGAATCCATATCAAAGATTACAGATAATAAAGGTTATATTTAATACTTGTGTTAAAATTTGATCAGTTTAGCAAAGATAACTTGAACAATTTCAGAACACTATATATGCAGTAATAGGATATGATTTTAGATTGTTCAAATGAGAGATCCATGTTCTAATTTCTTCCAGGTGATTCACTGCTAAAGTGAACTCTAAAGTTTATGGAAGAATTTCCCCTCCTCACATTGATGTTGCTGGACAATCTTCCTACAGGTATATGAAGAGTAATTATTTTCTACTAAGGTGAAGAATCTGAATTGTTTTTAGGTACGGTTTTCAAATTTTTGTGAATAAAATGTTAAAATATGCTCTCTAAACCAAGTTTTAAAATGTTATAGATGTTGAGGAAATTGGAGCAGATATGAGAAGCCATGTAATTCATCAGTGATTTGTTCATCCTTATTGTCCTATTTGCCTTTTTTTCTGTATTTACCAGCTTGCTAGTTGGTACAGATGAGTCTCAGCTCTCTGTCACACCTTCTTCCTAAGCTCACAGCGAGCTTCTCTCTAAATTGTCCCAATTGGATCCATCCTCATATTGCATTAGATCTGTACTTTCCTGAATATCATGTTTAGAAATTTTTGTCCTGTGTACTTGTCCTCTAAACTTTGGTGGAGTTCCCTTAAGCTTAAGCAGCCACCTGACCAATCTATAAATAGTTATTATTTAATTACCTAAAATATGACATCTGAAAATTTACATTATATAGTAGAATATCTGTACATGCTTATATAGTCTTATCTTTGCCTCCTTCAGTGGAGAATAAGAAACACCCAAACTCTCTATATTAGTATATCATTTAGTCATGCCACCCCTACACATATGCAAACACCCACACACACTGACAAACACCCACATACACAGATCCTCCCTCTACAGAATTGTGTAATAAAGTAAATAATAAAGTTTGAACATAGAGAATCTGACTTTCATCAAGACATATCAGATAATATTTAAAATCAAATTATAAACAATATGGCATGAAAAAATATTCATGAAATAAAAAATCCTATGCAACTTGGATCCTGGCTTTAGAAAAATCACAGCACATTGGGAATAGAAACCAAATACTGAATATAATAGTGAAATCTGGGAAAGACACTTAGTAAATATAATTGTATTGAATAGCCTTGTTTTCAGATGTGCTTATAAGAATTCCACAATTAAACAGGGAAAGAACATAAGAACCACTGGGTTAGATTGTGCTCTGGTTTATTGTTATCTCAGTTTGTTCACACAGTATCTCAGATGTGTCTCAGTAATTACAGTTGCCTCTACTTAGAAAGGCAACCACTGTTTAATAGAAGGAGGAATGTTATCATGTGCTTTCTTTGCTTTGCAAGGTGATTATATGTCAGATGTATAATTTAGAGGACTGGATATTTGTTCCCAGTTAAGTTTTATTGCTTCTTATTGGGTTGGCTTCATCAGTGAGTCATCTGCCTACAATCAATCCTCCACTGTTCAAAGAATGTTTAGAGAAATGAATGATGGTTTCTTGGTGGTCCTTTGTAGTATGAAATACATGATATATAATGTGGCAGTTAATATATTGGAAATAATCTGGTTACTTTATCTCATCTTCTGCCTCAAAAAGAGACTATAACTGACTAGAGGAAAACACCATACCTAATCCTCAAAGTTGAACAACAATTTCTCTTAAAATTTAAGAGAATAAAATGTGATGAAAATTCTTGGAGAGATGTCAAGCTTCTCCTTTTCCACTAGCTTCCCATTGAGCACTTACTGTGATTTTAGGTAAAGCATTCTCTAAAACCCTATTTCTATTTTCTTATGAACTCTTGATGAAAACTGTTAAGAAGAAAGCTGACATAAACTTTCACCAAACTGATTCAACTTCTGTTAAACAAACACATAACAATAATATACAAATGCAAGGTTTTGGCTAGAGAACTAAATAAAGCCTCCTACATTTGTTTTCAGCTTTTAGGTACTTTATTTTTGTGCATTTTCCTTTGGTTATTACTGTATTTTAGTGCACAGTAAACTAATATTATATGTGGCTATGTGATCTTTTGATACATTTGTATTTACCCTATCAAGGTAAATTTTAGACAGATCTTTACATTAATCTGTCATTCCTCTGCTGTTCAAGCATTCAAAACCCTTAGATCTAGCTGACATAAACTTTCAATTCACAAAAATAATTGATTAGCACTTAAATGGAAACAAGATCTCTTCAAATCACAAAAAATTCTTCCTAGACTAATAATGACTATATTTTTTAACAATATAAGGATAATTTATATCACACATTGCTCATCCTACTTTGACTTTATTTTAAAATGGTGAGGAGTTAAGGTTCTATAGTTTAGTTATAGAATGTAGTTAGCATGTTCAGAGCCTTAAGGACACTCCAAGGAGAGAGAGAGAGAGAGAGAGAGAGAGAGAGAGAGAGAGAGAGAGAGAGAGAGAGAGAGAGATGAAAGAAGAAAGTTAGAGAGAAGTGGTCAAGGGAAGGGAGAATTATGGAGAAAGAGGCACTCAAAGAGAATATACAGTTATCCAGTAGGTATAGAGAGAGAGAGGGAGAAAGTGAGGGTATGAGAGTAAGGGCGAAAGAAAAAAATCTTTGGAAATGAATGTACCTTTCATGTAATTTTAACCCCTTTCCACAGAGAATTTCTGCATATCACATTTATCATTTGGGGGTCAAACAAATTTTTATTCATTTTTTTCTTTCCAGTTAAAAGGCCTGAAAACAGTCTACTATGTCCAATGTAACTGTTATAACTGGATTCATCCTTATGGGGTTCTCTGATATCAAAGCCCTACAGACTTTATGTGGAGTGTTCTTCCTAGTGATGTACATGGCAGCCCTAATAAGTAACCTGATCATCATCACTCTCATCACCCTTGACCTGCATCTTCAAACACCTATGTACTTCTTCCTGAAGAATTTGTCCATGTTGGATGTCTTTTTTGTGTCTGTTCCAATCCCAAATTTCTTTATCAACAGTTTAACACACAACAATTCCATTTCCATTCTTGGATGCGTCTTCCAAGTGTTTTTAATGACTCCATTTGCAGCAGGGGAAGTATTTATCCTGACAATTATGTCCTATGACCGCTATGTGGCCATTTGTAGTCCCCTGCACTATCAAACCTTAATGAGTAGTGACACATGTTTGCTTATGGTGACTGTTTCCTGGGCTATTGGAATATTGATTGGAGCCATATATACAGCTGGCACATTTTCCATGCCTTTTTGTGGCTCCAATGTGATCTCACAGATTTTTTGTGATATTCCCTCATTGCTAAGTATGTTATGCTCCAAAACACTTGTGGTTATTTATTCAAGTCTTGGAATTGGTGTTTGTGTAGGCATGTTTTGTTTCATCTGCGTTGTGATCTCTTACTCTTACATTTTCTCCACTGTACTTAAGATTCCTACCACTAAAGGTCAGTCCAAAGCATTTGCCACATGCATCCCCCACCTCACTGTTTTCACTGTTTTCATTGCTACTGCTTGCTTTGTCTATGTGAAACCACCCTCATATGTGCCATCAATTACAGACAGAGTTTTTTCTGTACTATATACTGTGTTACCTCCAACACTTAATCCTGTCATCTACAGCCTGAGGAACACTGATGTCAAGTGTGCTCTGAGAAGGTTGCAGCAAAATCTCTACCCAAGGGCTTCACTCCATGTAAGACCTTAAATGTATCTGTCATTGATATAGTGCCTTATGAGTTACAAGCAAGTTTTTCAATTTTTGACTTTAGACATAGAAGGGGAGACATTCATATTTTGCCCTTAGTAAATAGACACTCAGATTAAGGATGATATTTTCTAAGTTCAAAAAATTAGATTATATGGGAATAACATATAAATCACAGTACCAGTTTCTTTTCTTTTGTGATAAAATTGTTCTCATTTGAGGAATAGACTTCTTTTTTTTTGCAATTTTTTTAGAATTTATTTTTATCAGGTATGTGCGTGTGCTTGTAAGGGGCTTCATGCGTAGGTTTCTGGGGCCGGCGGGTGTCTGATCTCCTGGAGCTGCAGGTACAGGCTGTCGTGAGCTGCCCAACACGGTGCTGAGAAGAGACTTGTGTCCTGTGCTCGTCGGCACTCAACCATCAATCACTCCAGCCTACTCCTTGTAAACATGTCACTGTTCAGTAGTTACCACAGGGTGTCCTGCTTACTCTGCAAAAGTAACACTCTGGGTGTTTTGGAGCAGAGTGGTATTTGTTGGATAATGGAGACTCAACACCTCTGAAAAGTAAATTAAATCAAAAGCTAGGAAATCGAAATGCTATCTGCAGGAAAAGGACATGTCCTTCCTTGTTTTTGCAAGTTTTGCCTGAAGAACGCTGGATGTGCTCAGATCTTAAAGCTGATTCGGTTGCCCAGGGTTTTCTTTCCCTTGATGTATGTATGTCTTGCTGCTGAGGCACGCTGGCACAGCTTCCAATTCTCTGCCTCACGTTAATGTCCTGGCTGCAATGGATAAACTTGCACTGCCGCCATTTAAAAGCTTTTGGAAGAAAGGGATCGATTACTCAAAACACAGATCTTCTTGTGAGTTGCCTGATGATTCTGCAACACCCAAACTGCTTTAGTTTGAGTAACAAGTTTATTTTTTCAAAAGGCATATAGAGATAATAAACAAAGTAAACATTTAAAGGTTGTAACTGCCCTAGACACTGATCCGTAAGGCTGTCTAAGCATGTCCTCTTAGTAATCGTCATCTTCATCTGAGTCCATTACTTTTCTTCTGTTGAATTTAACTGTTGTCTTCTTTTCTGTCTGTTGGCTGACTTTCTCAAGTATTTCCATTAAACCTTGTTCTGACACCTTCCCGCTCAGTTGTCCATACCGTGCCATCTGTATGAGGTAGTTCTCTACCGCTTTCGTTTTTTTCAGGCTTTACAAGCGCTAAGTTACTTAACCTGGCCCGGGCTGACTGATCCAGAACTTGGGCTAAGATACTGTTTCTCACTTATGTTTCCCTTTGCATTGTCTCCTGCTGGGCTGCATCGCCAGGGTCCCCGTGCTTGGCCTGCAGCTCCGCGAGCCTCTGCTTCCTCAGCGCCTCGAGCGAGGCCGGCCTTCCCTCCGTCCCTCCGTCCTTCCGTCCGATGTCCGAGGAATAGACTTCTAAAAGGCTTTTTCCACTGGGGCCAGGAGTCGGTTAATGACGCTTACACGGGGATTTCATGTCAGATATCCTGCTCTTCAGATATTCACATTATGAGTCATAAATTAACAAAATTATGCTTATGAAATAGCTACAAAATATTGTATGGCTGTTGGTTACTACACAGTGGGAACTGTATAAAAGTGCCATATCATTAGGAAAGTTTAGAACCACATTTCTAGAGAGTTAAAAAAATAAAAGACAAGTACCTCTACCCAAATCATAGAGGTGTTAAATAGTTTCTGGGATAAGAAGTCTCTCTGACTATCCTGAGTGTCTGACCAAAGTTCTCTGATCTGTGAAATGAAATGTAAACTACATGTGAAACTACAGCTATATGACTGCACCTATGCTGAATGTGAGCTTTTTGTGCTATATCTGGCTGACTCTTTCATGCTCCTGTAAGTAAATAATGCCAATAAGCTCTTTTGTTCATCATGTTGGACTATGGTGGAATTACTTTGGTCTTTCTTTGGTTATCTAACTTGTTTAAGTCTTTACTTTTTTTCTTAAGAGGAACAGGTAACACAATAGTCCATGTATATCTGTCACTCAGGTGCATTCCAGAAAATATTAACTATAACTATGTACTTGTGAAAGTTCCAATCACTGTCTGTAATAAGTTGTGGAACTGACTACAATTGTGGAAGAAATCACTTTTCCATGAAAGATTTCCTTTGATGAATTTACCAGTGTCTTCAAATACAAAATATTTTCTCTAACATGTATGAAATGTTTTAGACCATTTTATGTTTTATTGAAATGATTGTTTTTTATATTTAATTTAATTTTCCTTTCCAGAAAAAATACAATATTTTAATTAATTGCTTCTTACAATGATTTTAACAGTGTTTTGTGATCATTCTGACAAGGTCACCAGTCTGAATCATGAATTCAAGCAATGTCCACTTCCTTTATTATCCTATTTCACCTTAGTCTCACACATACTAAGACAAATCACTTATCCCTCTCATCCAAACAAAATCAAAACGGACTCATCCTTCGAGGATTTTCAAAACCACTATCAATAACAAAACCCTTCAGCAATGTACAGTTGTATAAAATGTCAGTGTGACACTTTATGTCAAGGAAAAATGTATAAGGAAATTTCCCTACTATGCTTCACTCTGCTCCAACTACTATCTCTATACAATTTTGGTTAATTGCACATCAATAAAATTTCAGGGCCTAGTTCAGAATAAAATAGGATACAAATAAAACTCATCACAACAGATTACCATAACTAACTCCTATAATAACATAACTAATGCCTATACAAATCAATTTCCTTTCCCTATCTGTATAAACCACCTCCAAGAGACAGATAAAGCCATGGAAACCACAGAATGCTCCCTCCCAGCACCAACCAGTGAGAACAGGTTACTTGCAAGTAACAGACAAAGTCATAGAAACCACCAAATGTTCCTATCTGTAACCAACAAATCGAAACCGCTAACAAATCAGTTGTCTTGACTCTGAGAAATTCCCCTAATTGTTCCCCAAATGTCAACCAAGCAGGATCTGACCCATGCCTCTTCCTACCAACTGATATAATTCTGTGTTTTTGCCTTTAAAACTCCTGATGTAGACTAGGGGCCTCTCCCTCTTGAGGCTGCTGCATCAGTTTGAACACTATTCAAGATACATACTTAATCAAACTAAAGGGAAATTAGAGTGATAGAATCAATTCATCTCTCACTGTTTCTTAAACACAAATGAAATGTGATCATCTTCCTCATGGATCTGCCACAGTCTCTTCCCAAACATGACTGACTATATCAGTAAACCATGAAGAAAAGTAGAAATTCCTTCATTAAAATTTTCTTTCAAGTATTTTGCTACATCAGTATTAAAGGTAACTAATACAGACCATTGATATCAAGTAGTTGGAGCCTTGTTATGATAAACATTGTTCTTCCTTAATATCTGAAAATTTACTTAAGGATGAAAGTTGGAGAATATAGAGCTGTGAAATATTAAGAATTCAGAGATTAGTGGGACAATCTCACAGAAGTTTCAAAGATCAGAATTCTCATAGAAATGGAAACAATAGATTTGGATTATAAGTCTTCATGAAGGAAACAAGGGCTCTAATGGTACTACAAACTGAACTGGACACATTTTTGTTGTTTTCTGGCAATGAACCTGCATGCAGTATGGCCATATTCTTAAATGCTGTGTTAGGGTTCAAAAATATTTGGCTAAAGTTTCTAGCATAGGATATTTAAGAAAGCATGGCATTCAGGCAGTGATATGGTTAGTAGTCATAGATTTTAGTCAAACTTAGGTTAGAACTTTCTGAAAGACAAGAAAAACTTCAACAATCGAGAAGGATGAGTATACGGAAATTTGAAGTAATAGATCATGACAAAGTTGACAAAACATCCTTTTTGTTTTGTTTTCTGAGGCAAGGTTACTTTACATAATAGTTTTGGCTGTCCTGGAACTTATGCTGTAAACCATATTGGCCTTGAATTCACAGAAGATACTTGCTTCTGCCTTCAGAGTGCTTAGATTAAAGGCATGCACTACCACCATCTGACAACAAAATATCTTTTGTTAGTGCTATTAATCAAAAACACCATTTGATACTTCCAAGAATAAGAAGTCTTTTGCAAGTAAAACCCCAACATGTGAAAATGCAAATATAATAAAAGAAGATATCCTAAACTAAGAATGTCTTAGTGGTTCTCCATTACAAAATCTTCACTTAAGTCAATATTCCCCAGAGTCAGAATTGGGGGCATTCAAAGGCTGCTGAAACTGGTTTGGATTCACTCTGCATTCTGATTTGACAGTAGAATCCGCTAGTTCCATAAACATTACACTGGCTTTGTGGGAATAAAGTATACAAGAATGAAGGTTATGGTAAGTCTTAAACCAATGTCTCAGGAAGTGGCAGGGTCCACCCAATGTGAGACAGGTTCATAAAAGTACCCTGCTATGAAGTTTTGAGAGAGAACTGAGAAAACATGTAATAGAACTCCAGGAAGCTGGCAATTGTGAGATCATGGATTTCTAGTAAGGGAAGCTGCAGATATGTTGTAAAGTCAGCTCAATGAGAAACCAAGTTTAGAAAACAGGAGGAGTGAGATTGCTCAAGGCTATGGGAGTTCAGGGGTTTGAACATAAACCTCAGGATCCCCATACAAAATAAAAATTTTTGTTGTATGCCCTGATGGAGTTTAGTCTTCCATTGACTTGATCATTCCTTGATGTTAACCCAATTTTCTTTTTATAATTGGACCATTTTTTCTGTGACATTGTATTCAATGAAGCATATAATTCTCTTTTTGAAATTTCAAAACCAGGCAAAAATTTGCTCTGAGTTTCAGAGTAAATGGACTATGAACTTATACATTTTGTATTCTTTGTAAATGTGTAGATGTGAGTGAGAAACAAGAAGAAGCCATTGGAGTTGATGTTATGTGTAGTTGTGGGCAATATAATGGGGCTTCTGGGAACCAAACAGTAGTAAGACCCATCCCAGCTCTTAATCACTGAGTCATTTCCCC